AGATACACTTCACAGGTTAAGAGTGAATGACCTAGTGAAGACAAGAACTGATTTTAGTCCTCCCTGCGTACCTCCTTCTACGCCCAAGCTGCCTCCCTCATGTGCTTAGAATCCTACATTAATTGGCAACATTCATCTCAAGTCTAAATTATTGTCTCAAAATCCAAATTATGGCTTTTCTAAAAAACAAAGCAACCTCAGAAAACAAAGGTTTTCTTTGTCTTTAGGTCAGCTCTTGGGCTAATTTGTAAGAAGTTCCTTTAAAGCAGTGGTTCTTAATCTGCGGGTTTCAACCCCTTTGGGATTCAAACTGCCCTTTCACAGGGGTCACATATCAGATGTCTTGCATGTCAGATATTTACACTATGATTCACAACAATAGCAAAATCACCGTTATGAAGCATCAACAAAAGTAATTTTATGGTTGGGAGGGTCACCACAGCATGAGGAACTACATAAAGGGTCGCAGCATTAGGAAGGTTGAGAACCACTGTTTTAAAGCAAAGGAGTCTTAGAAATAGCACAGTATCCTTTGCCTTCAGGGCACACAGAAACAATTAGACTCAGAACAAAGTGACTTCTATGATGATTGTGAATATATGAGTCACAGATGGAAAAAGGATCATCGCTTCCTCAGAGGAGAGAAAAATGTATAACTATCAATGGAAAGGCCTTTGGTTTTACAGTCTGAGAATATTAAAAGTATATGTGTAGGTACATTTCTAATCTGTGTGTGTGTGTGTGTGTGTGTGTGTGTGCGTGTGTGTGTTTAGGCGGGGCGAGACAGCATTTGTTTGTGTAGCCTTGGCTGTTCTGCAACTAGCTCTGTAGACCAGGCTGGACTGAAACTCACATAGATCCGCCTGCCTCTGCTTCCCGAGTGCCGGATCAAAGTCGTGCGTCACCATTGCCAGCTATTCCCAGTCTATTTTGAAAGCAAGTATCATCCCTATTATCAGAGACAACAGCTTTCATTGTTAATCATCTCCTTCCCTCTGCACTCAGCTTTGATGGTAAGTGCTCTAGACAGAGATGTCAGACTTCTGCATATGCAAATTGTTTGCTAGTTAGGGACCCAGAGCTGTAAAGGAGTTGGGTCCCCGGTGCTGAAAGGGGAGAAAGCAGGCAGGTCAATTAAAAAACAAACAAACAAAAAAAAACCCCACCCAATTTACAGTTTACCTAAAAGGCTGGAAATAACTCCACCACCATCCACTTATAGGCTTTACCTCACTTGTTAAAATAGCTAAGTCATAATTTGTCTTAAATGCCAGTTTATACATACCTGCCTTCATTCAGTATTCCTATGTCTGCCTTTGTGCTGAGCACTTTACACACCCATGCTTCTCGTAGGCAGCTGTGTTAAGGCTCATGGAGGACAAAAAGTCTGGCCATGCTCAGACAGGACATCAGTGGCAGAATACAGATTTAAAATCACATTAAAGTCTTCACCACAGCCAACCTCACAGTAACTACTGGTTTCTGGTTATGGGTAAGGCACTACATGGAATCTGTCTTCTGTCTGGCTCTCTCTCTTGTTGCTGCTGCTGCTGCTGCTGCTGCTGCTGCTGCTGCTGCTGCTGCTGCTGC